GTAGCGGTGGCTGCGGGAGGCTCCGCCCACCCACCCGGATGTCATCACGTCCTGTTTTTGATGCTCTGCACATGTGCAGAAGGTCCTGCACATGCACGGAGGTGGTGCGTGCGCTCCCTTTTGCGAACCAGTAGTGAAGGTTAAGTGAATACCACCCCTGGACAAAAGGGTAAACCATTTCTGAAAAACCTTTCCAGGAAAGCTGTGGGACTTTCCAGGTAGAATTGGACAAGATTGAACAGGAAGAAAATAAAATGAAGGGAAACATAAAGTGGGGGAGGGGCAATGTTAGGGAAGGTGGACCAAGTGGCCTAACCTTCCCCAAGGAAATCTCTGGTCACATCCACTTATGGCCCTTCGGAGAGAAAATTTCACAGGTTTGTTCACTTTGAGGCTGAGGAGAGTATCAGAATAAGGGGCAAAACATCCCCTAACACAATCCTCGATTCACAACCACAATTGAGCTCCAAATTTCCATTGCTAAAGCAAGACGGTTGTTAAATGAGTTTTGCCTCATTTTATAACCTTTCTTGCCACTGTTGCTAAGTGAATCCCTATAGCTGTTATGTTAGTAACATGATTGTTAAGTGAATCTGGCTTCCACATTGACTTTGCTTGCCAGAGGGTCCCACAAGCTAAACACACAACCCTGGGACACTGTGACCGTCAGTCATCAAGCTTGATCACATGATTGGGGGATGCTGCCATGGTTGTAACTGTGAAAAATGGTCAAAAGTCACTTTTTCCAGCGCCGTTGTAACTTTGAATGGTCACTAAACAAATAATTTTAAGTCAAGGACTACCTTTACTAATGCAGCTAAGAAATTAAGCCTATTTAACAATGGAGTGGAACAAGAGTAAGCATAGTGGACCAAGGAAAGAAATTGCTGTCACCAAAACATGATTGTGCTGGAAACAGGAGTCCAGTTTTGGTTCTAATTTAAAGAAGCAGCAGATGATAGCAGGACCTAGAAGGGTTTTGGATCTTTTCTCTACAGCACAGAAAATGGGAAGGAGTTTGTCTACTTTTCCCTACCACCCTTGATAAGAACAATGAAAAAATATTTTCCTTTATTGGGAGATATTCTTAACTTCCTTTCCCAGGCATCCTCAAGACTAAACTGGTCTGTATTAAGAATTGTTGTGTATGGCAATTTTGTAGGAAAGTGGGTGGAGATAGGTTAGTTTACTGATTGTTTAGTTTAAGAAAAGGGATGCTTAAGTGATATATTTATGGGAGTGGAGCAAATGGATGGAGCTGAATAAATGCTAAATTAGGATTTATGGGGAAGGCTGCTTTGAAATGTTATATTAATATACACAAAAGATTAAATGTTAAAGCAGGACTTATTTTATAGTTTTAAAGTGGAAGGTTGTTATGAAATGTTGTATTAATATACAGATATAAGTATGGGGGAGGAGTAAAAGGGCAGATTACTGTTAAATTGGGAGTTATAATAATATTATTATGTTAAATTAGAAGTTATTATGCAATGTTATAGTAGAATGATATTTTGAAATGTATGGTAAAAGGGGGAAGTAATAATATTAATAATATTATTAGTAAGTAGGGGTCAGTATTTAGAGGAGGGAGTAAGGGGATGGTGAAATATTATATAATCTGTTACGAATTAGGTTTTTGTTGTGAAGAAGTCACGGGGGGATGGGTGGTGAGGGGGGTTAGGGAGGAGGGGGGGGAGAAAAATGTGGGAAAAAATTTGTATTTGAAAACTTTTTCAATAAAAAAAAAAGACTAAACTGGTCTGTGAAAAAGCACAGCATGGGGAAAAAAAAACTCTTGGAAGAGCAGCCCTTCACCTCAATTTTCCTGTGCATGAAAATGGGTTTCTAGTTATAGTACCAACCCCACTTTGCTCTTGATAGTCTGGTACCTGTTTTCAGGCCCCATTTAAAGTCTTGGGACTGAGATTGAATGGTTTGGAGACCCAGACTTTCACAGAATCACAGGGCTGGAAGGGGCCTTGGAAGTCTTCCAGTCCAATCCCCTGCTAAAGGTAGGAGACTTTTTTCCATCCCAGACAAATGGTTGCCCAATCTTTTCTTGAACACCTACAATTCTAGGAGATAAACTATTTCATTGGTTAATCATTCTCACTGTCAGGAAATTCCTCCTTATTTCCAGGTTGCATTTCCCTCTGATGAGTCTCCATCCATTGCTTCTTGTCCTGCCCTTGGGTGCTATGGAGAATAATTTTTTTTTTTTTAAATTTGATTTATATGCCGCCCTTCTCCGGAGACTCAGGGCGGCTTACAATGCGCTATGCAATAGCCTTCATTCTTTTGTATATTTTATACAAAGTCAGCTTATTGCCCCCACAAACTGGGTCCTCATTTCACCTACCTTAGAAAGGATGGAAGGCTGAGTCAACCTTGAGCCTTGGAGAGATTCGAACCAGCAGTAAATTGCAGGCAGCTGTGTTAATAACAGGGTGCGTAGACCACTGTACTATCAAGGCTCTTTTTTGACGCCCTCTTCCCTGTGACAGCCCTTCAAGTATTGGAAGATTGCTATTCGGTCTCCCACAAGTCTGCTCTTTGTTAGGGTAAATGTATCTAGTTCCCTGAGCCGTTCCTCATATGGTTTAGCTTGCAGAACCCTTATCACCTTTGGTGCTCTTCTCTCAAATAAGACCTCCTCCATGTTCTTTAGTGATGTTGCTGTGGATTATTCCTGCCAGGTCCAGTGAGGCTGATGGCTACAAGCAAGATGGCCTTTTTGGCTGGAAGGACCCACTTAAGAAATGGCCATTGTGAATATGAAATGCTGCTACCTTAATGGTGCCAAGTTAAAATTCTTCCTTTGGCTCTAACATCTGCAATCAGCTTGTTTTCATGTACCTGTTCTATGCTGGGATAGCAGATGTTGGTTTGACATCACTCAGTGTTATTGATTAACTTTTATTGTTTTGCTTTTTGTTTTGGGGGTATTCGTGTAATCCACCCAGTGGACTTGGATCACAGGGTGGAGGCAAATTAGTAAAAGAAGGGATCCAAATAATAACAATACAGGTAATCCATGACTTACAAGCACAACTGAACCCCAAATTTTTGTTGCTAAGCAAGACAGTTGTTAAGTGAGTTTTGCCCCATTTTATTTCCTTTTTTACCAGTTGTTAAGCAACTCACTGCAGCTATTTTTTTTAAAATAAATTGATTTATATGCCGCCCTTCTCCGTAGACTCAGGGCGGCTTACAATGCGCTAAGCAATAGCCTTCATACTTTTGTATATTTACACAAAGTCAGCTTATTGCCCCCACAAACTGGGTCCTCATTTCACCTACCTTAGAAAGGATGGAAGGCTGAGTCAACCTTGAGCCTGGCGAGATTCAAACCTGCAGTAATTGCAGGCAGCTGGTCTTAATAACAGGGTGCTTTAGACCAGTGTACTACCAAGGCTCATTAAGTGAATCATGCAATCATTAAGTGAATCTGGTTTCCCCCATTGACTCTGCTTGTCAGAACCCAGCTGGGAAGACTACAGATGGCAATCACATGACCTGGGACAGTGCAACTGTCATAAATACACACCAGTTCCCAAGCATCCAAATTGTGATCACGTGACCACAAGGATGCTGCAATGATTGTAAGAGTGAAAATCGGTCACAAGTCACTTTTTTCCAGTGTGGTTGTAGCTCTGAATGATCACTAAATGAATGGCTGTAAGTCAGGTTCTACCTGCATATGGAAAAGGTGCCCATTTCTGGGCTAGAGTGATAACGAAACATCTGCTAGCAAACAACAAAGCTCAGAGAGCATTAAGGAAGTGGTTCTCAACCTTCCTAATGCTGGGACCCTTTAATACAGTTCCTCATGTTGTGGTGACCCCCAACCATAAAATTATTCCTAAAACCATTGAAAATATGTGTTTTCCAATGGTCTTAGGTGACCCCTGTGAAAGGGTCATTCAACCCCCAAAGGGGTCCCGACCCACAGGTTGAGAACCACTGCATTGAGGGCTCCATTCCTAAAGTACATCTATTTTTTTTTTTTTAGTACTGCAGAGGGATAGATTATAAGATTTGAGAAAAGACAGCTTCCCAGGATCCTGAAACATCAGTTAAATGAGCCTGAAGACCTAAGGGGCAGAATAAATATTTATTTACTGCAATAAATTTGGAATTTTATCTTTTCTTTTCTTTTTTAAAGATAACCTAGAGCTCCAGAAGATACAGAAAATAGCATCTTAAATTATTAAGGACCAGGAGTGGAAGAGGGAAAGGTTACAAGTGCAGCTAAGAGGTGCCGAAGAAAAAAAGAGGTATAAAATTATCTGTGGCCAAAAAAAAAAAATATGGAAGAAGAAAAAATGAAATTTCTCTCCCTTTGAATTCAGTGCAACTGATCAACCCCGACAGAACAAGAGGAAGATTTAAAGTAAGAAACTCCCCTATGCAAGCTACAGCTGCCAATATTTTAAAAAGGGGAACAAGTAAACCCTAACAGGATTTTGCTGAGGAGGAGGAGGGACAGGGGAGGGAAAGTGAGATTCCGGCAAAATTTTCTTGAATTCCGCGAGGATTAGAGTTGGGGGCAGAGGAAGCTGACGGGAAGTGGCTTTTCCACGCAGGGGCGAAGTCACCCCAAGTCTGTCAACCGTACCCAGCTCCCTCCTCCTCGGCCTTCTGGGATTCTCTCGCTCGGCTTGGATCCAACAGAGCCACGACAAGCGTCTGGAGCCACCGCTTTGCCGGGCAGAGGGGGTCGTGGAAGACGATTTCTCAGACATCCCCCCGACCTCCTTCCTTCCCCAAAGCGAGCGGAGCCATCCTCTGACTCGCGCTCTCCTCCGAGGGTCGCCGACCTAGATAACGTTGGGCGGTTCCTTGGGTTCCATTCACCGTTGGGTGGATCGAACCCAACGATGGTCCTCCGCGTCAGGTTGAGCCCCTCCGCGTCCCCGGACAGGGTGGGCGTTTTGGTCTCTCTTCCCCCATCAAGCCTCAGCCTCTTTGCTTACCCCCCAACTCCCTGCTCTCACCTGCGTCCGTCTCCTCCCGGGGTCCTGGAGCTGCGAGGCGCAATGCGACCGAGGGAGCCACCGAGCGCGCGCGCCTGCCCGGTTCTTTGGCAAAGGCGAGGGTCGCTGTTGCGCGCGCTTCAGGCGGCGCTTTTCTCCAGCGAGGAAGAAGTGGTGGTGATGGTGGTGGAAGAGGAGAGGAGGAGGAGGAGGAGGAGAGGAGGAGGAGCGCTCCGCCGCAGCTCCTGGGAGGATAATCTTTTCAGCTCTGAGCCAAGGGGAGAGGTGGAGACAACACGCGCACCGTATTTGGCCAGCTCCTGACGCCAGCGGTCTTTCTAAATAAAACCCGGCCATCTGTTTATGCTTCCGCCAATTGGAAGGTGGCAGAGAAGCGGCTGGAGTCGGGTGCTTCCCTTGGTGTATGGATTCGTGCGATGTCATCCCTTCGAGGTAGTCCAGCCAAAAAGCAGAACAATAAATTTATTTATTTATTTATTAAGGCCAGTTGCAGCCCTTTCTGGACCGGGACGCCTTGTGTACGGTCACTCATGCCCTTGTCACCTCCCGGCTGGACTATTGTAATGCTCTCTACATGGGGCTCCCCTTGAAGAGCACTCGGAGGCTGCAGCTGGTCCAGAATGCGGCCGCGCGGGTGGTTATGGGTGCACCTCGTTGTGCCCGCGTGACACCCCTCCTATGTGAGATGCACTGGCTCCCAGTGGTCTTCCGGGTGCGATTCAAGGTATTGGTTACCACCTTTAAAGCGCTCCATGGCACAGGACCCGGGTACCTTCGAGACCGTCTTCTGCCACCAATAGCCTCCCACCGACCAGTCCGTTCCCACAGAGAGGGTCTCCTCAGGGTGCCATCAGCCAAGTTATGTCGGCTGGCGACACCCAGGGGGAGGGCCTTCTCTGTGGGAGCCCCAACCCTGTGGAATGAAGTGCCCCCGGAAATACGTAAGATCTCCGACCTCCGGGTGTTCCGCTGCGCACTGAAGACCCTGTTGTTCCGCCAGGCAGGGCTGTCAATATAAATTGGGGTATTTTAATTTTTGGGGTTTTAAATCGGCCAAATCTATTTAATTATTTTAATTTTTAATTATTGTTGTGTCTTGTGTTTTTAAATTGGCTGTACACCGCCCTGAGTCCTTTGGGAGAAGGGCAGTATAGAAATAAAATTATTATTATTATTATTATTATTATTATTATTATTATTATTATTATTATTATTATTATTATTATTATTATTACATGTATTTATATGCCGCCATTCTCCCGAAGGACTCAGGGCGGCGAACACAAGTTAAGAAACAAGTACAATAAAATCATAATTTAATCCAAATAATTAATTAATAGTAAATAATAAAACCCGGAATCAGAGTCAGCCTATTTGTTTGAAAAGCCAAGTCTTCAAGTCCCGACGGAAGGAGTGGAGATCAGGAGCCGTCCGGAGCTCAGTAGGTAATTCATTCCAGAGGGTGGGAGCACCTACAGAGAACGCCCTATCCCTGGGCACAGCAAGGCGACATTGGCTCGCCGTCAGAACCCTGAGGAGAGCGGCCCTATGTGAGCAAATAGGACGGTGAGAGGCAGGCAGGAGAAGGTCATGCAAATATCCCAGACCTAAGTCATGCAGGGCCTTATAGGTGAGGACTAGCACCTTGAAGCGGACCCGGAGAACCACTGGTAACCAGTGCAGCTCACGCAGGAGGGGTGTGTAGGAAGTTAGCACCCACCCTACAGGTGTTATATGGGAGTAACGAGGGGCTCCCGTAACAACCCGTGCAGCTGCATTCTGGATCAGCTGGAGTCTCCGGGTGCATCTCAATAAATGCTACCTAGCTCTGTCTTTATTGAAAAGTGACAGTCATAGAATCTTGCAAATCTGAAAGTACCCCTCCTGATTTTTTATTTTTTATTTTATTTATTTATTATCAAATTTATATACCGCCCTTCTCCCGAAGGACTCAGGGCGGTGTACAGCCAAAGTAAAAAACATAGATACAAACATTAAAATACAGTTAAAAAGATATACATACATTTGGCCCCATAATTAAAAGAACAATAACAAACCTATTAAAAACATTTTAAAAAGTGTTAAGCCAGCCCGGCTTGCTGAAAAAGAAAGGTCTTCAAGGCAGGTCATGAATTCTTCGTATCTCTGGGGGCAGTTGATTCCAGAGGGCAGGTGCCCCCACAGAGAAGGCCCTCCCCCTGGGGGCCACCAGTCTACATTGCTTGGCCGATGGCACCCTGAGGAGGCCCTCTCTGTGGGAGCGCACAGGTCGGTGGGAGGCCATTGGTAGCAGCAGGCGGTCTCGAAGGTATCCAGGTCCTATGCCATGGAGCGCTTTAAAGGTGAGAACCAACACCTTGAAGCGCACCCGGAAGACCACTGGGAGCCAGTGCAGCTCACGCTCCTAGGTTGCTTCTCTCCTTGATTAATCTCGGTCCATTGCAAGAAAATAGCCAAGCCCAAATAGAGAGCCCCAAGGACCCTTTATTTTAACTGGAGCTACAAATATTTTCTTTTATTAGTACCCCTCCTGTCCCTACATTACTCTTCTCTAAACCAGGCAGGGTCCTGCTTGCTCCACCCTCCTACCTGTAGGAAGTTAGCACCCATCCTTTTCCTAGAAGAATGAAATATTTTGGGAAATATTAAAAAGGTAGAATATTATGTTTCCCTGGATGAGAAATGGAGAAGCATGTTTTAAAGACAAAGCAGCTCCCACCTTCCTGCCCCCACACCCTTGGTTAATGGGCCAGAGGCAGAAACCCAATCCTTTGTCAAAGGACATCTGCAACACAACGGGACCCATCTAGCAACCAAAACTCACCACATGGCACCTGGGAAGATTACATCAGCCAGCAAGGCTAGCTAAGACCTCCACCCCCTGGAAGTCTGACAACCAATCAGGATACTCTTTCGGGGCCCCAGGAAGTTCAAAGCCAGAGAGAGCATAAAACCCCAGCACTCGCTGTATCTCTGCCCTTTTTCTGTTCAGGAACTCAAACCATGTGATCCTGTCTACCATTAAACCATCTTTCCAGTGTTTCCATGTGTCTTTTTCCCCACTTGGAGCTGAACCCAGAAGGATATTTCTTCCAACATATCTTTGGATACAAAAAATTTGTTTATGAGATCAATGACTTGTCTGTGATTCTTTTTCCTGCTCCCAAGGTCATTCTCACATACCCTTACATGTAAATATGGGATGTGTGCACAAGCTACTCTTGGCTGGACTCACAAAGCTTGCTGGGATGGTGTGCTAAGCCACCCTGTCTTGTCTGTCAGCTGTGATTTATGGCTGGGGGTGTTGTGCTAATGATATTTTTCAAGTAGTCCTCGACTTGCAGCCACAATGGAGCCCAAAATCTCTGTTGCTAAGTGAGGCAGTTAAGTGAATTTTTGACACAGTTGTTATGTGAATCACTCAGTTGTTAAGTTAATAATATGGTTGTTACGTGAATCTGGCTTCCCCGTTGACTTTGCTTGTCAGAAGGTCACAAAGGGCGATCACATGACCCTGCAACCGTCATAAATACGAGTCAGTTACCAAGCATCCAAATTTTGATCACATGACTGTGGGGCTGCTGCAACCGTCGTAACGGTGAAAAATGTTCATAAGCCACTTTTTTTTTTCAGTGCCATTGTTAACAGTCACTTAACAAACTGTTGTAAATCGAGGACTACCTGTATTCCATGCAGCATTGCTAATGAACCATAGTTTAATGAATGAGGCCTATCATTTTGACCGGTGTAGTCGATGATACAAATTGCCTGTTTTCTGGATGATTCTTTATTAATTTAGGTCTTAAAAACTTTTAACAACCCAAATTAGCTTGTGCTGGAATTTGGTGCCAGCCAAGGCTGAAGTACAAAGCAGAATGAAAGATCTGGGTGTGTTTGCATTTCCAACAAGCTAGGCAGATTCCAGCATGCTCCCACACATCTCTTCTTTGCCTTCCAGTATTGGAACACAACACTGTATTTATTTAGAGCTGGAAGCCTGACTGAGGATCTATGGCAGGGGTCTCCAACCTTGGCAACTTTAAGACTAGTGGACTTCAACTCCCAGAATTCCTCAGCCAGCAAAGCAGGCTGAGGAATTCTGGGAGTTAAAGTCCACAAGTCTTAAAGTTGCCAAGGTTGGAGACCCTTGGTCTATGGAGTTTCCCTATGCAGGCCCCTTTCTAGAGAGTTGCTATGGAATGCCACCTTGTCATCTAAAGGCTTTCTGGGCAATAGAAAAGCTGAGCTCACCATCTGAGTTCAAGGAGACCAGTTTTAATCAATGCTAGGGAAAGGTGAGAGGATTAAATGCCTTTGACCAAACTGGGGCTAAGAAAAATATCCAGCACTATGAACTGCTTGGAGGAAAGGTGAGGTAACAATAACAATGGCCCTGTATGGTTCCATTAGTCACAGGAATGTTCTTCAGATATAAGAATCTTAAGGAAGTGACACATTGTTGGGAAATCCTTAATAATACCACTTAAGGTAAAAACGTGATAACAGATAGAATGGCTAGAATGGCCTGGAACAATTTTCCCAATCTGTTTTTTTTTAAAAAAATAAATATTTTGTATGTGTGTATTTTGATTTTTTCCGATAGCATGGGAAGCATCAAGACATGGATCCCTTCACTTGCACAGTGATATGGTAGCCCAATTTACTCAACCACTGCAGAATTCTACCACATGGAGCAAATATTTATTTATTTGAACTGTATTATTTTAGTGCTCCTTTGTTGCTTTAAGGAAATTGGCTAGGTTTTTTTTTGCACTCCTGTGAGGCCCTTCCAGTTTGAAAGGATTAGCCGGTGACATCACTGTTGCCATGGAGACGCCCAGTAGGGTGCTCCTTTCATATCCACGGCAGAAGCTGGAGTGAAGGACCAGAGCTCAATCCTGCCCCATGGCAGCTCTCGGGTCTCAAATGTGGGCTTGCTAACCTCCTGCCCAATGTCTCAACCACTTAAGCCACCATGCTCCTAATAGGCTAGGTTAAGTAATAGTTAATTTCCAGCTCGCCCAATGAATTTGTTGATCAGATAGGTTCGAGATCAGAAAGCACCATGCTGGAATCTCAGTCAAGAGCTTTCTATTCCTCAAAACTCATGGTTAGCAACCCTTCCTCAGCAAACTGGAATAAAAAGTCATCCAATCCATTAAAATCCAATCCAATCCAATCCATTAAACATATACACCCTGCTGGAACAAATATCTATCACCTTGCTGGTGGGAAATTATTTTCATTCAATTTACTT